CTGGCCCTTGTGAATCCCAGACCCTGGAGGGAAGGGAGAAAGTCTGGAGAAAGGAAGACTTTCCCTTGTTTGAGGAGAATCAGGTTGAGGTCATTTAGGCAGACCTGACAACCATGAATCTATGGGCCCAAATGGGACATACCCACAAATCCACAGGCCCCAAAGGGATACACCCATGAGTGCTGAACAGATGTTATTGCTAAGCCATTCTTTATCATCTTTGAAAGGTCATGGAGAACTGAAGAGGTGTCTGAGGGCTGGAGAAAAGCAAGTGTCACTCCAGTCTTCAAAAAGCAAGAAGGAGGACTCAGGAAAGTACAGGTCAGTCAGCCTCACCTTCATCATGGTCAGGAAAGGTGATGGAGCAACTAATTATGGATGTCATCTCTAGACATGTAGAGGAAAAGATTATCAAGAGCAGTCAGCATGGATTCACCAGGAAAAGTCATGCTTGATTTCTCTGAAAGCCTTCTAGGATGAAATGACTGGCTGGGTAGATGGGGGAGAGCAGTGGGTGTTGTCTACCCTGACTTCAACAAGGCTTTCCACACTGTCTCCTGTAACATTCTCATAGGTAAGCTCAGGAAGCATGGGATGGGTTAGTGGACAGTGAGGAGGAGTGAGAACTGGCTGAATGGCAGAGCTCAGAGGGTTGTGAGCAGAGGATGCAAAACTGGGAGTAGTGTCTGACACACTGGAGTGCTACATTCTCATTCAGTGGGACCTGGACAGGCTGGAGATTTGGTGGAGAGAAACCAAATGAAATTGAACAAAGGCAAGTGCAGGGTCCTGCATCTGAGGAAGGAACAACCCCAGGTGCCATGACAGGCTGGGGACTGACCTGTTGGAAAATAGCTCTTGGAGATGGACCTGGGAGTCCCAATGAACAACAAGCTGTCCATGCACCAGCACTGCCCTGGTGGCCAAGAAGTCCAATGGGATCCTGGGGTACATTAGGAAGAGCATTGCCAGCAGGATGAGGGAGGTGATCCTGACCCTCTACTTAGCCCTGGAGAGGCCAGATCTGAGTTCTGTGTCCAGTTCTGGGCTTCCCAGTTCAGGGAAGAGAATAAACTACTGGAGCAGACACAGCAAAGGGCTGTAAAGATGGATGGGGGACTGGAGCATCTCTCTTATGAGGGAAAGCTGAAGGAATTGGGCCAGTTTGCCTAGAGAAGAGATGACCAAAAGTGTGGTATTCACATATTCTTTGAACAGAGAGAGACACAGATTTTCCCTAGCATTTTCCTAGGGAAAGTCTGTGAAAAAGCTCAAAGAAGAACAACAATTCTTATCTTCACTTGCTGCATCTTTTGTTTGGCACATGTGGAATGTGTTATGGAGATTGTTCACCAAAAGGGATTTCTTAATTGGACACTGGTGATGGTGTTTTGGACTGATTGACCAATTAGATCAAAGTTCTGTCATGACTGTCTGTAAGGGTCACGAGTTTTTCTTTAGTATAGAAGTATATTAGTATTAGTGTAGTATGTAGTATAATACAGTATAGCTTAATAAATCATTTGTTCAGCCTTCTGCAATCATGGACTCAAGGCTCTTTATTCCCACATTGGGGATGGCCTGCCACAATACAAAAGGGGATCTTATCAATGCTTATAAATACCCTAAGGGTGGGTTTCAAGAAGAGGGGATGCGGGTCTTTTCAGTGGTGCCCAGTGACAGGACAAGGGGCAATGGGCATAAACTGAAATCCACTTTCCTGTGAGAGTGACAGAATCTGGAGCAGGCTGCCCAGAGAAGTGGTAGTCTCCTCTGGAGATACTAAAAAGTCATCTGGATGTGAAACTGCTTTAGCTCAGGGGTTGGACTAGATGCTCTCCAGAGGTCCCTTCCAACCTCAACCATTCTGTGTTTCCATGATCAGACTTGTTAGCCAACATGGTCTTTCAGCAGGCTCTGTTTTTACAGTGTGTCTGTCAATACCCCAGCTTGCCTCATCCAATTTAGGACGATGGCATTTGACATTTGTCTTTCAAAAAACACAGTGATCTCTTCAGCTACTGTTCTTTGTTTTCCCATGCACTTGGCTTATGTTTCTCCCTGTTTGTGACTTTTACAGATGTCTCTTTTATATCTCCTATTTAGCAGTTCTTTTCATCTACCCTCCTAATATATTAAAAGGGAATAAAACCATCTATATAACAGAGAGGAAAGTTACATTTAATGTCCCTGACAGGTGTACTTGCTTTTTCCTCCACCCTACCTCACCTGGCACCCTCAGTCACCACTGTGTGACACTGCTTCCTAGGACAAACCCTGACTGTGTTCCCTGAAAGCTTTGATTAGTTAAAGAATAATTTGTGGAGAAGTGTGCAAAGTGCTCCTGTGAGAGAATCCTTTGGTGCTGTGTTTCTAGTGGTGCTGCTACAGAGCTTTCTTGTGGAGAGTGAGAAATGCGTCACAGAGGCTTTTGGCAGACTGGAAACCTTTTCACCTGATGGCAGTGAAGAGTACTGGGCTTTGATGTGCCATTTGACTCAGATCTGTCAAATAAAAGTACAGTCAGAGAGTGTCTGTATCCCCTTCCAGTACATCAAGTGGAAAGCAGCTACCACAGAGGTCTCATCTTTTTCTGCACTCTCTGAGAGATTAGGATTGTCAAATTGAACAGAAGAATCATAAAATAGGAGAGAATACAGTTAATTGGGAAGATTTATAGGCTTGTTAGCTGGAATGTTTCTTAATTTAAAATGTCATGTATTCCCTGAAGGGAGACATTACTTCTAGTTGAAGCCTTAATTGGAATGGGCTAATTTTCAGTGCTGGGACTACTACTACTACTGAAAAACCCTTTAATCTTGAACAGAGAGAGAGCTATTTAAATTTCACAAGCTGTAAAAGTGTCAGGAACACCAGTTTTAGCTTTCTCTCGTGAGGCCACAGAGGAGACTAAAAGGTGAACAGTAGCACTGGGCAGTCGTGAGAAAGGGGTTTTCTTCAAATGGTTTCCCTAGAGCTGACTTGGAAATGTCACAACTTTTTTTCCCCCTTTCACTTACATGGTGATGCTCATGGTCTCATACTGGAATTGCTTCAAATAAGTGTTTCCCGGTAGGTTGAAGTTCTAATGCTACAGGCTGGGCAAAACTGAGATATCTTTCTGAAAATTGAATTGTTGACTTGTATGAAGAATAATCATTAGTATTATTTTTCTTTTAATGTTTTCAGATATCACCTAGGGTCAATGTCTGCAATATCACCAGGTCATGCCAAGGAAAGCAGTCTATACGACTTTAATGGCCTGTGTTTGTTGGGATGGTATAATGTACGCTTGTCTCTTACTTCTTCCAATGAATTTCAGATTCTTATGTTATCTAACTTACTTTAGGCACTTGTTCCTATCTGCTCTATTAGGAAAGAACAATATTTTTCATGTGTGAATAGATGTATGATCCTGAAGTAGAGAGTCTAAAGTAGAAGCATAGGTGCAACAGAGATAAAAAAATTGTTGCCCATTATGCAGAGATTTTCATCTGCAGAGATTTTGCAAAAAGCATCTAAAGCACGTGATTTAGTTTTAGGTAGGCCTGCAAAGACCAGGGAGTTTGACTCTGATCTCTATGGGTCCCTTCAAACTCAGGAGATTCTGTGATTGAGTGCTCAGGTGGAATGTATGCTTACCTGTGCCTCTCAACATTTTTGGGGGGTTGGTGTTTTAAGAGTCTTTTGGGGATTTTATATTGCTTTGTTCTGGATACACCGTATGAGCTGTCACTGAATTGTCTCAGTGATTTGCTCTCCCATGAGAATGAGTAGTCACTGGATATTATTTCTCTTTCCTTTCTCCAAGAACAAATTATTGTTAATTGGTTAATTATTGTTAATTCCTACTCTCTCACTAGCATGGGAGGATGCTAGTTTCTCTGTTTACTTCTTTGTTATTAAGCAATGAAACACAGCTTTGGAGGTCTGAGTACATGAAAATGTAAAGTGGCGGAAGATGTTCAGTCAAGAATCATAATCCTAAAAAATAACTTTTCTTGACCTTCCTATAGCTTGGAAGTGCCAGACAGAGTTAAATGTGCTCCAGTGCTGCTAGCAGCTGCTGCCTGCCCAAAATGAGGGACCCAGGGAAGCTGTGACAAGCAGGGATCACCAGGGATGCAAAGGAGGATCTTGGATGGGAGCAAGGCAGAAAAAGGTGTTGGGAGATTTCCATGGCAACAAGGTGTCTGACAATGGGTCATCTGAGACTCCAGCGCAGAAATAACTCCTCGAGCCTTCTGTAAATAAATAAGTGCCTGGAGCTTGATCCTTCACTGGTATAAGTTCAGACTTGTGTGGTTGCTTTTGATAGATGACTCATGCTGTGAACATATAGCTTGTGGAAAGAGAAAAAATTACTTACAGTTCCCTGGTGCTTTTTTGATGCTTTTAGAAAGTCTGTCTCTTTTTAATGGAGATTATTTTTTAAAAAATATAAACATAGGTTCCTGAAAATATGACAATTTGTAAAATAGCAGTTTGGTTTATGAGATCTGCTATGTCTGTTATGAAAATCTTCCATAACTTACAGTTCATAAGAGCAAAGGTAGAAGCATATCAAATCAAATGATTTTGATTCAAAAATTTTGTCCTCTGGAGAGCATTCCCAAAGTCAAATCATGTGTGATGCTTTAAAAACATCCTGGACTCCACTGCTTAGAATTAGAATGAATGTGTTTAAGCTAACTCCTGTGTTTTGAAATAAAGCTAGAAAAATGACTATAAAGTGGTGCTGACAGCCAAACCAAGCATAAAGCTATAAGTATCTGATAAAAAATAAAATGTCAGAGGGAAGATAGAAAGAAAAAAAACCCCTATGTAGTTCTCTTTTCTGTGCCAAGGCTCGACGTAGATTTTAACTAACTTGTGACACCATCTTTTCATGGCAAATGTTTCTGAAGGTTCCCAGTGTCATAAATAGTATCCATTAGCATCATCCCTTTGGTTTCCTTAGCAACTGAGACAATCAATTCAATGATAGTTTTATCTGCACAGAAAAGCACCAGCTACAAGAGTTATGGACAGAAGTACAAAATGCAGGTAGGCTGGAATCTATTTGTCTACAGACAAGCTTTATTTCTTTCTCTGCTTCTTTCTATTTTATGAATTGCAAGCCTTTAATCACAAATTAAGCACAAATCTCTTCAAACTGTGCTTTGCTTGTGCATCAGTGATAGCTGATGCTGACTCTAAGGGATTCTCAAATCCATTCAGCTCAGCTGCAAGAATCTTGATATTTTACCTTCACAGCCTGAAAACCTTCTTCATTTTCATATTTTGGATTGGGTGTGAATATATAACTTTTTTTTGAGTATCAATTAGAAAATTGCAACATTAAGGCCATGCTGGGTCTTGTTTCAGTGGGTAGAGGAAAGGGGCCTGGTTGCTGCTGCTGTTTTCTTCATTCCTTTCCAGTACACAGGGGTCACATGCTGTTTGTGTTTTCTGTCATTTAGATCCACTCTGAAGAAGAAATTCAGAAAGCAAAAGGCATAAATTGTTCTGCAGACTCCACTTGTGAAGGATGATATGGCTGGGAGAGGTTCTCCTTTAAAAATATATATTATATATATTTTTTATTTTCTAGAGTAGCTTCTTTAACATCCTGCTGAAGCTTCAGTCCAATTCTGTATGATTCTGTCTGCAGAAAGGCTTTCTTCTCTTAATTTGCACTGCATTGTCAGTACCAAATATCAGTAGGGAGGGAAATAGTGCTATGATTGTGAGTTATTGGAAAAACTCTATACTATTTACAGAAAAAGTAAATTTTTTTCTCCTTCTTTAATTTTTCTTCATTTCTTCAGAGTCAGACAGCTGGATGTATTCTGAAGAAATACAGCATGTTAAATGAAAACATTACTGTGTCAACTGCTACTCCTGAAACACAGACAAAGGTGCTGTTTTGTTACTTTTGTTTATTTAGATACTTAATTATTAAAAACAAAGTTAATATCAAGCCTCTTGAAGTAGGTGCAGAAGGTCCCTTTGGTTCCTGTGGGGACTTCCCAAGCTAACCATGGAACATAAAAATTTATTAAACAATAAATTCTCTGCATGCCTTGCTTAGTTCTGATGACTGCTTCTCCTAAACTCCAACAGTTTCTGTATCAGTTGTACCAATCCCTAAACCCACTGTCATGAGTAAGATTCCATGCAGGTTTCCAAGTTTACTGTTGGAAAAAATCAGGTGGACGAGTCAGGCTTGCTCACTGTCATGAGTACTGGGAATAGTGCTCACCCCCTGAAGTAATGGGACACAGTAGGATGACTCACTGGCTTTTTTGGGATTCTGCTTCCCCCCAGACACTTTGTGATTCAGTTCCTATAGTTGCCATGAAAGAGCTGTGACAAGTTCAGACTGATGGCCACAGAGAACCGTATTCCAACTTAATTGAGGCCATGAACTTTTTTAGAATGTAAGAATATCTTCATAGTTTCACTAATGTAGGGCTTGGAAGCTGCTCAGCAGTCTTCCAGCACCATTCCCTTTGTTCTAGTGGAACTTCAGTGTGGCACTTGCCTGTAAGGATTCCAGTGAGGATGTAAGCTCATTTGATCCGAGGTAGAGGAGGAAAAAGTCATGGCCTCTTGGGCATTTTAGAGTTGTTGCTCGATATCTCATGTGAGTGCTGACATTTGTCATCAGTTTTGGTTTGGCCATGGTGTAAGGTAGAAGTATTCAGTGTGCATGCAGATTTGTTTTCCCCCTCCCTGCATATAACCAGACCAATTTGCATCTAGCTGTCATGACCATATGTCCCTTTTGTGACTGTGTAAGCATTTTTCCCACACACACCTTTTTTTCTTCCTCTCCCCCTTTTTTTTTTTTTTTTTTTAAACCACCTTGATATTGTTGGCAGAACTCAGCACAACAGATCTGAGTTCACTCCCTCCTACTGGTCAGCACTGGGATGAGCAGCAGTTGCTCAGGGAATTGCGTGTTATGGATTTGATGTTTGTATGTTCAATGAACATGTTAAATGTTATAAATTATCAAATCAGCAGCCAAATTTATAAAAAAAAAATTAACAAAGATTTATTAGATTGATAACAAAAAACCAGAATTTCGAAAGACCACCACAGCCAGGACAGCGTCAGCCCCGGGTGCAGGTGCTGGGTGAACCGAGATCCGACCGACAAAGTGCCAGCGTTTCCCCAGTGGTTCACCCCGTATGCTTCAAGCAGTTAGCTTATATATAGTTTATTCTGCCTGAGCCAGGGATGACCGAACATTTCTTTGTGTCTCTTCACATGTAGAACTGGGTCCATACATGTGCAGGAGTAGACAAAGGTAGGTCCAGGTGTCCAGAGGGATGTCTGAGCACCTCGGCAGAGCCTGTATTCATATGTAGCAGAATGACACCGGTGGTTCTTGAGTATGGTAGATGTAATCTTCCCAGGTGCAGGTCCCCAGTGAGTGATTTAGACATTCCAAGGAAACTAGCAATCATGGCCCAGGAAGGTTTCTTTCATACGTTAACAGACTTGATATTATCTCAATGTTTTCTGGGAACTAATTGAATAAAAATGAGACTCTGCTCCCAGCCAGGGTGATCACAGATATACCTTAGATTCTACAATATTTTATACACATACATAGCATGAATTATCTCTACCATATACTACATTAAGTGCAAACAGGTTAATAGTGTGGATTCTTGGCTGACAAATACAGGTATCCTCCTACTAATTATCATTCCCAGAATTAGATTTTTGGCTTTTGCAAAATCTCATTATTCATTTGCAGATCGTATACTTAAAACTGTTATACTTTACTCGATTCACAGTGTTTGGTGGGGGGTGTGGAGAGAGTGCAATTTCAACACTAACTGGGGTATGAACACAGATATGTGCGAACATTTGAAAATTTGGTCATGGACAAACTGCCAGGTACTTGAAAGACCCCAAATAATATTTAGCTGAGCCACTTTGTGAACAATCTCTCAAAATTCAGGGAAACTGCCAAAACCTAATACGTATTTTGAGATGAGATGTACTTATCTCCATGAGCTTTAACCAAAGCATGATAGCCACCATTGACACTTTGGGTTTCTGCACTGTCCCTCTTCCATGATGACAGGCAAGTGCAGATTATAGACAGTTGATGCAACAAGATAATATTGATGAAAGCAGTCAATATGTTTTCACTGGACATACAGATACCGTAATGATGGTGCTGTTCAGTGGTTGCTCCTAACAAATTGTTAGGTATAACTTAAAACAGGTCTTGACCTTCAGTGCAATCTATATGCTCAGTTAATACTTTTTAATTGCTAATGCAAGTAGAGGGTGAAAGTGTGAGCAGCACAACAGCAAACAAGTCATTCTCTATTGACCAAGTGACATGGGACTGTGTGTGTATATATTTGTGAAAATAAAGGTAACAGAAAGAACTTACAACCAAATTAATTGAACTAATTTTTTTTCCTCATTCTTTTCAAGAAGTAGTTCATGAATCAACTATTGCAATACTCAAGACTTCTGATAATTAGGACAACCACATAACATGGGAGTTCTGCTGTGTTTAGATAGCTACTGACCTGGAAAAGAATTCAAAGGATCCAAGCAGAAATGAAGTTTAAAGGACCTTCAGGGCAGGAGAAAGAGGAGATTTTCCAGAAATGCTTGTGAAAACAGCCAGGATGATTTCAAATGTGATGGTCCCAAGTCAAAAGCACTTTCGGAAAATGGGAGAAAAAATTTCTGTTGGAGAATTGTTTGAACTCTTTGACTTTCATCATTAATGCTTGAAAATATCTTCTCTGTAGAAGCTTTGTACAATATTTTGTTGCCCTACATTATAAATATTTATTATATAAACAACTATATACCACATAAAATCAGGACATAAGCAATAAACCATTTTTCAGGTGGTTTTTCAAGAAAATAAAATGAAATAATATTATAACACATAAATGTTACTAAGGATATGATAGGTGTGCAAGGGCTTCAAGAATTGAAAGTATACTTTCAAAGTGAAATCTTTACCCATCAAATTAATCTGCAAGCACAGTTACATTTGCTGTAACTAAAATGCTGCGTGAAAGCATCCTATTTAGAAATACTGCATCAAGAGATTTCATTGGCATTTCAGAAACAGAGGAATTTTGTTATTAGGCTTCATGTCTTGTTCCACTCCACCAGCCTTTGTAAGCTACTTTGTATGACACTACTTGTGTCAAACACCTCAATATAGATTTGGTATTAAAGCAACATCATCCTAAGTGCTTTCAGCAGTCATCCTTATCACGAGAGGATCTGTTAACTATCCCGTGAAATGGGCTTGTTGGAAGCTAACAGCCTGGAATAGGGAATGAATTACTTGCCTGCCATCAGCCCTCCTTTGACAGTGTACTCAGATTGAGTTCTAGTCTGGCAAAACATGATAGAAATATACAGCTTGCTGATGTAAAAGTGTTCACAGCCACTCTTCTCTGCAAACAGCTCTGGTGGGGAACAGCAGAGCAATGATCCTGCAAACAGCTCTTTTCTTGTAAGGCATCTCCCATGTTCATCTAGAAAACATTTTTACTAAAAAAGTTTAAAAAGTGCAGTGAATTTAAAAATAACAAGAAACAATCCCCCTTTGACTCCAAAAATGGGAGTCATTGCATTCCTACTGTTAAGAGCCTGAAACATATTCTGCTGCCAGGTGAATGAGCTGTGCCCAGGTACCAGCAGATATATCTTGTACCTGTGCTCTCCAGGAGTGGCTGTCTGGCAGTGAGACAGTAATTTGCTGGGATGTGTCTGCTTATAGCTTTCATGGCTTCCATTCTATTCATCCTGAGTCTGAGTAAAGATTTCCATATACCACCCTGATGTGCTTGGGGAAGGATCAACTTTTCTTCTCCACTGCCTCCCTCCTCCCTGTGGAACATAGGATCTGGCACTTTTACAAGCACAGAGAAAACAGAGCCAGGACAGTCCCTTGTTTCAACTTGCTGTCAAAATGGGTTTTAAAATACCCTGTCAATTAATCTCACTGAAATGACTAGTGAAGGTTCTGCTAACTCTATCCTTGCAGCTCTGTGGTTAATTCATTTCTGATTTGGACATGGAGTAGAAGTGGCAGCGTAGATTGCCCTCCTATCACTGCAACAGAAAAGTTAAAACTGGATGATGCCCTGTATACTGCAAGCTAGGTAGCCTTCTGCTAAAGAGAATACTTTAAATTAGTGTTTTGTTCCTTGAAATCTGCATACCATATTAATAGGATGATTTCATTGCTATCTATACACCACCAGCCTGGTCTGGAGTTGATTACTCATTTGACTGGCTATTTGACTGGCAGGAAGTGAGCAGGGAGTCTTTACTTATATAATATTGGTAAAAAAGATGAAATTGGTGAAGCCTTGAGGCTGCTAATCCAATACTTAGTCATTGCAAGAATCATCTGTTTTGGTTCCAGAGACCCTGGTTTCCTATGATACTGCTGAATTTAGCATTCAGCTTAATTCCATTTTCATTCACCTTCAGCCCCCAGTGAAATATTGCCCACCTACAGGTTAATTTGACAGCATGAAACAGCAAAATGATCCCTTTTCAGAGTAAGTATTTTAATTTTAGATTGCTAATAACCATAGCACAGTCATGATGTGGTGATGTGGAAGTGCCTGTGGTCTCAGCAAGCCACAGAAGCCATCAGTGTTTTATGAGTTTATCAGAGTGCTAACCTTTCCATAGGAATTTCCTGCTCCCTTCTTAGAATGGGATTTCAAAGAAGACAGGTACTTATATTCAGAAACAGCCTGAGAATGAAATGTTCTTTCTTGGGCTATATCAGGGTTCATTCATGCTTGTGAACATCAGGGACTTGGTTTGCAGAGTAACTTGAATGAAATGAGGCTTTTTCCCACAGAGCTTCCTAACAGTCCTTTCTGAAATAAATGGAGTGGCTGATGGCTCTCAGAGCTGCAGATGGTGAGATACAGTGTGTTTTAGCTAATGAAGTGATGGGGTTTCCCTTTTTTTTCTACCACTAATTATCATCACACTGAAGTATTTTGTCAAGAAATACTTAACAAGTTTCACAAACATTGTTTAATCTCCCCACCTTTCTAAAGAAGCTTGTATTTGTTGTGGCTGTAAAGAGTGGCAATTGAACTGGCTGATGTGCATAGATGGTTTTGGCGAACAGAAGAAACATTTTTTTATTGACCATTCTTCTTTAGCTTTCTCCACAGCAGAATCTAAGATGTGTCTACATGGAAACTTTCTCTGAAGGTAATATGCACTTTCAGAAGAAAGAACTGCTAGCCACCTCTCAGCAATTGCCTTTTTTAGTGTTTAATTAATTATCTAACCTCAAGTCAATATCAGAGCATTTTTCAAGAGTATTAAACCTTACGTTGCAAGCAGTTGCATAAGTGCACCCTTGGAAAAACAACATCTGTTGCCCTTTGTTTTGTTGCCTGTACATCTGTGGCACCCAAGAGGCAAAGGTGTCTCCTGAGGGCTATCTGACAATGCACTGTCACAGGCATGCACAAACATGATACCCTCATTGTGCATTTCCTCATGGCATTAGACACAACACTAGAGCCTGAAGAATGAAGACACTTCTAATAAAATAAAGTCAGATTGTCTTTTTTTTGGTCAGAGATGTGGGAGATGGTGTGTACACTTCTGTTAACTTTTAGTATATTCTTGATATAGAGCTTTATATTATTTATGTAAAACCTAGCAAACTCAGTTCCTAAAGGCTCTGTTTCCACTGCACCATGAATTTGAGTTATAGTTGGCTTCCATATAGTTGCTGCATGTATTACATCTGTCTGTGCATTTGACAGCAGGTCTGTAGCCAGGAAATCAAAACAAGACAAAATACGACCTGGTAGGTTGTATAGGAAGTGCCTCAGTGTATGGGAGGGCCAAACCATATCCTGTTGGACAATATTGTATTTCAAAGTGAATCTCTTTCCCCACCTGGAATTTCAGGTTAAGAGGACTGATCTCTTTTGTGAAGTGCTAATTAATATCTACTAATGAAAGAAATAGGATAACACATAGGCTGCTATAAAACTTAGGAGTGAAATTGTGCCTCACATTAGAAGTGTTTCTGTTGCCTTACTTGCCTAAGTATATCAGTTCTGCTGAGGCATAAGCATCTTTCAAGGAATAGATATGATAGATCATTAGTTGCAAAATTGGATGTCACTGTTCCAAACTTTTTTTCCATTATCCAAGCACCTAGTAAACAACCAAAATGTGTTCTTGAACAAATGAGTTCTTGGAAATTTTCATGTTGCAGTCAGTGGATTTGTACTTTATTTCAGAAAGGAACAGCAAATTGCATCTCCTGAGGCTGAAAAAAAAAGCAAAAAAAACCCTTTTTAATTGTTTGGTTGGGGTTGGGTTTCAGTCTTTTTTCATGGTGTAAAAAATGCCTCTAAATATTGTTTAGGAAATTTTTACTTTGTGTCAGAATAAACAGAATCTTGATCTCCTATATATTTGTGGGGATTTTGTTTTTATTTATTTTTGTGTTTCCTGTCTGTAGCTGAGGGCTTTTCAGTTTGTTTATTTCATTTTTTAAAGCATACAAGAATTGGAGTAAATGATATTTCAATGCACAGAAATAGGAATTTTAAATACTAGGTTGTCATAAACAAATAATATGAAAGAGGAGTCCTCATGTTTCCATCAGAAATCTTGACTGACCTAAGCCCTTATTTCTTTACAGATGTTGGAAATTAAGTTATAATTAAGCACTCATATTGTTATGCCTGTGAATTGTATCTGATGAAATCATTTACAGGTGAACAGTGTTTTAGTAAAAATAGCTACAGAGAACTGTAGTTAGAGTAGCTGAGAGTTAAGAATTTTTTTCTACTAGAGCTGTTAGGGACAAAAAGAAATCAGATTAAACATGCTTGTAATAAGACTTTCATCAGTGCTTTTATAAAGCTACAGCAAACAATGCAAGTGTGACACAAAATCACAGCCATTTCAGGTTGCTTATGCAGGAGCTCTGAGCAAATGCAAACCTGAAATGCCCATGGATGCTTAAGAAACCAACACAAATGGACCTGAAAGTGTTGCTTCCATGTAACATTTAAATACATTAAACTTAAATTAATTGTCTTGCAAATGAAAACATTCAAGTAGATTTTTTAATTGCTCAGATAGGGTATGGGGTATGATGACCCTATTCAAAAGAGTCTTATTCAAAGGAAGACCAGAACTTGGGAGAAGAGGGTGACCCTGCTTATGGGAAGGGAGCAAAATGGAAATATCTACCATGGATATGTATCAGGGCTTATTAGAGGTTAATTAATGTTAAAGTAGATGGATGACTTGTTTTTCTTTTGTAGGTTAAAGATGCACAAATACTGACTTAGGTCTTATTGCAATGTTAGGGTTTGGGGTAGCATTGCTGCTCTGTTTTTCTGTATCAAGTATTATTGTCTTCACCAATTTCCAAGGAAAGATTTGATCTACAAGTGATATTTGGAGGATATGTAAATTCTGATATCCTTAATGACATTTGTTTAGCTCTGTTCAGTCTTTCTGCATTCCACCAGCCTCTATTTCAATGTAGTATTTTAATATATAATGGGTAACCCCCCCTACCTCTGCCTCATCTAACCACAGTCTGAACCAAACTTTAATCACTCAATGCCTGATAAAATTTGACAGTATGTTGGAAAGTTTTTCTTTGAGTTTTCTTGTTATTACTTAGTAAAGTGTTCAATTCTCTTTGCTGCTAAGCACTGGTAATAGTAAAAGACTTGAAGTTAAGAAACGACACCAATTATTTTTGGACCATTCTGGGTCTATTATATATAGAGGATATAAGATTGTTAGATTCATTATAGCATAATATCTTTTCCCATCAGAAGCTCTGGAAAATAGGATAGTTCTGGCAGTGCACATCTTGCACTGAGAAACTGTCAGGATAGAGAAAAGAATTGTTTTGAAAATGGTACCTAATTTTAAAAACTGTAATATTTTTCCCCAAGGCACATGTAATGGTATCTCCAGGATCCAGATTTTTTCCTTAACCATTTGATTTCCCTGTTCTTTCTCTACTTTGATGTTTTTTGCAAGTGTAGTTTTAGACAAAGTTCTCAGTCATAAACAAGTCACTGTTTTTATTGTAGTTTTGCTATTTAGGTTTCCAAAAGTGCTTAATTTTTTTGTAAGATCCCAACTACTCTCCCTGTTTCAGAGGGCTTGCATGCTAGATTTTTTACTTTGTGGGAGTTTTTTGTTTGGTTGGGTTTTGTTTTTTTGGGTTTTTTTTTTTTTTTGTGGTTTTGGTTTTTTGCTTGGTTTTTAGGGTTTTTTTGAGTTTTTTGAGAGGCTGGAGAAGGGGGAGGAATTTCATTAAGCTCTCTCTTCAGATGAATCAGGGAAAAAAAGACAACCTTGTAATGTTGCCCATTAGAATGGGATCTGGATGTTCTAACTCATTTTGAAGCATTAATTAGCGGTAATTTGATGAGGATTAGTTGCCATAAACAGACTTTAGGATTTTCTTATTTATATTTTCTTTGGGTGGTATCTTTTCAAACATTATAGCCAGACCTGACTTCTATTGAGTATACCCAGTTGTCCCAAACATTTGGCTCCATCCTAATCTATGACCAACATTATACTAACAAAAGCATAATTAATTTTGGTTTCTATCTCTTTGGGATAAGGGATAAAATATTCTCATGGCCATTTAGTAAATGGCAGCACAAAGATAGTAACATAAATGTAGTAGCAGCAGCATAAATATAGTGATAACTGTGGTGTATGGGAGACCCTGAATGGGTAGAGGATACATCTGAAGAGGTATATCTTGGCTTAAATCAGGTGTCTACATGTTTAGTTCACAATGACCAGACTCTTGGTGTACTTTCTGGATTTTGGATGTCTTATTGGATAGCATTCGTTAATCCTTTTTATTCAGGTGTGAAATGTTAGTGGTTTTCTTTTTTGGTGTGTATTGTTTTCTGGGGTTTTTTTGTTGCTGTTTTTGTTTTGGTTTGTTGTTGGTTTTTTTTTCTTTTTGGTGTGTGGTTGTTTTCCCTTTTTTTTTTCCTTAGGAGAATTTTTCCGTGGCACATAATTCTTCAAAGATTCTGCCTATTCCAGCACAGAGGGTAAAAATATTGTGGGCTGGGGTGCTACTCTTAATAAGTATTTTTAGGCTTCTGGCATGGAAACAGTTAATTATTCAAAACCAGAATTTCACTGAAGAAATTCAGATAGAATATTTTATTTACTAACCCAGATTTCCATAGCTCTAACTTTTTGGAGTTAAAGTAAGAAACTGGGAAAAAACGAGAAGCCAGGGTTTGAGATCATTGTGAAGTAATGATAGTGCAAGATCATCCTTGGTACCTTATTTTTATTGCACTGGGAACAATCTGTTCAGTTATCAGCATCAGGATGTCTCTGATCTGTCATGAAAGTAAAATTGGTACTGCTGATAGGACACCTCTGTGCTTCAGAGTTAGAGACATGCACAGCTTAGTGCTGAGCATCCACTGGTCTGCTCTTGTGACCTGAGCTAGAAATTCTGCCCCTTGCTCTGCTGGGTCCTATAGAACAACTTGCTCCCAGAGTACCCCCAAAGACAGGGCTTTGTAGTGCAGCAAAATTAATCCAGCATCTAAATGCAATTAAAAAAAAAAAACAAACCAAAAACCAAACCAAACAACAAACCCAAAACATGGTTTCTTGTGGTTCTGTTGTTCTTGTGGGGGTTTTTTTTGGGTTTTTTTTTTTTTTTTAAATACCAAACAGGCTGCAGTAAGCCTGCTAAACCAGACAAAACTTAGATTTGTATGCATGAGCAGTATCTGCCATTTAGCTTCCAGCCTGTAGAAAGGAGATAATGAGAATCTGTGGCCAAGGGGGAGGATGGGAGAGCAAGGCCCCTTTTCATGGCTTAATCCTACTAGACTGTCAGGTAGAGGTAAAAAAAAAATGCAGCTTATCTTCTTATCTTGGTGCTTTCTCCATCCTCTGTCTCTTAGCAGCTCTGACACATTGTGCTCCAAGAAGGTCACAAATTCAGGAACTGGCCTTTGAGCAGGGCTTTGTTGTTTGGGTTTTTTTATTATTATTTTTATTATTTTGGCAATGCCAATTTTATCCTCATACGATTCTTGCATGATTTAGGGGTGTGTGTATCAGAACAGTATGATAAAGTACAGGCTGTGGGACTACATGATAGTTGTCTTCCTGGTAGCAAACTTTGTCAGGGAGAGTTACAATACACATGTGGA